CAGGACTGCCCACCCCGACCACAGACTCCTCATACCCACTGCATGCTGGATGCCAGGCTGTGCCTCCTGGCTCAGGATGAGTCCCCATTGGGAGCCCAAGGACCAGGACACGCTTCAGAGCCAAGGGAACCTGCAGAAAAACCCTCCCCAGCTCCGAGTGAGAAAAGCCACCAACCCACCTGTGCTGAGAAGCCGCAGAAGAAGCCAAACCAGAAGTGGACCATGGTGAAGGCAAAGTTCTTGTAGAAGAAGTAGCAAAGAAACTTGCACATGCGCAGGTAGGACCAGCGCCCGTGCACCAGGAGCAGGCGCTGTAGGAACTTGAACTGGGAGAAGGAGTAGTCGGAGGCCAGCACAGCCTGGATGCCTTCCTGCCCACTGATGCCCACCCCAATGTGGGCAGCTGTGGAGGGAAGGAGAGTTGGATGAAGAGAGGGCTGCCAGGAGCACAGGGGGATGAGAGAAGCACCCCCAGCACAGACCCTTTGTTGCTGTGGGGCACAGAGGGGTGAGGACAGAAGCTCCCACAKGCCCCAGGATGGTGCAGGGGAGGGCCCTCTCTCTCCTGTGGTCCCCCAGATCCCACGCCTTACTCTTGATCATGCTGACATCGTTGGCCCCATCCCCAATGGCCAAAGTCACGGCTTTCTTGTACTTCTTCACTAGCTCCACCACCTGGGCTTTCTGCAGGGGTGTTACACGGCAGCAGATAACAGCTTTGCAGGCACAAGCTGTCTCCAGGAATTCCACCTCCATGTCTGCCTCCAGCGCATGGGCCTGCAAGGAGAGAGGGACAGTTTGGGGTCATGGTCCACAGCTGGGCACAGGGCCTTGTCCTGCCTGGCACTCCCAGGACATACCAGGCTGTGTCCATTGATGACCAGGGCATATTCKCCCGCAATGGCTTCCAGCACAGAGGTGAATTTGGAGGAGAGTTTCTCCTGACAGAAGCCATTGCCCACAGAACGCGATGTGTCCATCATCTTCTCCCGGGCTTTCCTGAGGAGAGAGGGGCCATGGTGGTTCCATCTCAGAGCCCTCCCATATCTCTAGCTCCCCTGGTCACAGCTGTGCCCCACACTGGCACAGTTCTGCATCCCCTGCCYCCCAACTCTCACCTGAGCTCCTCTCGCACCTCCAGCACAGTGTGGCCTGTGACTACAAACACCTCTGTCATGTCATCTGTCAGCATTTTGCAGGAGTAGCCGATGTTCACAGCTGTTTCTGAGGATGGAAAACCAGGGGCTGTGAGCCAGGGCCCACTCAGGAGAGCAGTAGGGATCCCAGGCAGGGGGAATGCACTCCACAAACATCCTCAACTCCAGCCAGTGCCTCAGCCAYGCCTCACCCTGCTTGTCCCCTGTCAGCACCCAGATCTTGATGTTGGCCARCGTCAGGATGGCGATGGTTTCAGGGACCCCCTGCTGCAGTTTGTCCTCAATGGCTGTGGCTCCAAGCAGCTTGGGGACCCAAACAAGTGGGAAGTCAGCAGGGGCTGCCCTTASCCACCACCTCCTCCTCAGCCTCCAGCCCACCTACCATCATATCATGCTCCACCTCGTCGTAGAGCCGAGCCAGGCGATCCTCACGGGCCTCAGAGGCACTGCCAGCTTGGTGCAGCCGCTCAGACCAGTCTCTGTAGTAGCTCTCCTCCAGGTCTTTGTAGGCCAGCACCAGTGTCCGCAGCCCCTCGCCAGCGTACTCCTGCAAGTGGTCAGAGCTGGGTGTGCTGGCAGACCCTGACCGTGTCCCCAGACCCCAGTGGTGTTCCTAGGACAGGGCACAAGCCCAGCTCAGGCTCCAKCCATGCTTTCCTCCCCAGCCCTGCMTGCAGGAGCCTGTCTCACACACATTGAGGTGGTCAGTGGTGACGCTGGTCAGSTCCTGGTTGACAGCATGCAGTCGCTCCAACAGGATGGTGTCGGCTCCTTTGCAGTACAGCCGGATCTTGCCCTCAGGGCTCCGCACTGTGGGGAGGAGGGGACAAACAGCCTGACTCAGGGGTGCAGGAGCAGGTCCCGCTCTGAACCCCAGCCATCAACCTGCCCATGCCTCCACAGTCACATCCCCATCAGCATTGGACTGRTTCCTCAACACGCCACACTGAGCCCCGTGCCAGTCCCACGGGGCATTCCCAGCCTCACAGCCCCTGTGCCATGCCCAGGACCTCACCAATGACAGACATGCGCTTGCGGATGTTGTTGAAATCCAGGATAGCCAGCAGCTGGTAGGTGATGGCTTGACCCAGCTCATGCACTGTGATGGTTTTGGGGGTGCGGGACCGGAACACGAAGCCAAAGTTTCTGGCAGCTGTGACCAGCGCTCCCTCATCTGGGGACTGCGCCTTGTACAACAACTCCCCTGCGGGCAGCAAAGGGTCAGTGACAGTGTCTTGTGACCCACAGGGGCAGGTCCTGCCCCACRCTCACCTTCACTCTTCTCCTCGGACATGACAGTGTGACAGAGCGAYAGCAGGCGGAAGAACTCGTGCACGTGGAGGTCTCCCAGCTTGACAGCTTCCAGCAGGCTGGGGTCCCAGAACTGGAACCGTGCGTCTGCCAGTGGGTTGAAGGAGAAGTCGACTGGCTCCGGCCTCTGGCAGGGGCAAAGATGGGGTTACCTCACTGCAGCACTCGGTGTGAGCAGGTGCCAGACTGACAGTCCCCTTACCTCTCCCAGCTCTGCCTTGTGACCCAGCAAATCCTGCACATCACCTGCAAAACAGGGCATGGAGTTAACCATGACAGACACCCAACACTGCTGGCTCACAACGCTCCAGCTGAGCCCCCTTGCCCCCTGGCTGCCCAAACAATCTGCAGGAGGGGAACCACTGCACCCCCACCCACTCGCAACCCCAGCTTGGCCCTGGCAGCTGGCGCTCACCATAGCTGTGCCCGTTCACAGAACACTTGCTGAAGACCATGATATTCTGGGTGAGGGTGCCAGTCTTGTCAGAGAAGATGTACTCCACCTGCCCCAGCTCCTCGTTGAGGGTGGTGGTGCGGGCTTCAGCTGGCGTCCGGCGCTTGGCACAGTACATCTTCTTGTCCCAGTTGATGAAGTAGCTGTGCCCAAGCCGGATCACCTCCACGCTGCAGGAAGGATAGCTGGGTGTCACTGGGGCAGGGCAGCGCACTCTGCTGAGCCAGTGACGGGCACACACATGCCCACCCCAGACCCTCAGTGTCCTGGGCTCTTCAGCACCCCAGGCACCCCCCATTGCTTGCTAGATCCCGCACCCTTCCCAGGGGCTGGCCTGCAACCCATTCCTGCTGACAGCCACGGCTTAGCCAGGGCTGGGGACCAGAGCAAGGTACCCAGGGGGCATTTCACACATCTATGCTCCCCAAACCCCCTCTCCAGCCCCCAGGGCATGTAGCAATGAGCTAAGTGGGAGGGGTGGGGGTGACACATTCTTACCTCGGGGCTATGAGTGACAGAACCCATGCTGGGGAACGAAAAGAGAGAGAAATTAAAAGAGAGAGAGAAGGGGACAGTGCAGGAGCCTAGGAGCTGTAGGAGGGCAGAGCAAAATAACCAGCGTGCAGCCAGGGCAGGGTGAGATGAGCAGGCAGACAGACACAGCCTAGGGGGCCCTGAGGGACCCGTGGGGTCTCAGGTCTTGGGGTGTCCCTGAAGGCAGATGTAGCCCATCACCAAGAGAGCAGCCCGCACCCACCCCACACATAGTTTTGCCTGTGGGTCTCCATCCTGGTCTGTCCTCCCCAGAGAGCACCCCTAATGTCTCATACACCCCCTGCCCAGCCCCTCTGCCCCCTGCCCTACCTCACATAGAGCGAGATGGGCACCACAGTGTTGAGGATGATGATGTAGGACCAGAAGGAGAGGAAGCCAGAGAAGAAGGCACTGTGCACCCCCTCGTCCCACGGCAAGTAGATCTGGAAGCAGACGCCCACCTCGTGCTCCCAGATGGCATTGCCAATGGCCAGGATCACTCCCATGCACACCAGGAACCCGAAGATCTAGAGACAGGACATTACATCAGAGCCCAGACTGGGTCAGATCCAGGGCTCCCAGGATCCCCCTTCCACATACCCAGAGCACCAGCGTGTTCATCAGCCGGTCGATGCTTGTCCGCTTAAATTTGGTCCGGCCACTGTTCTGCATCAGTTTTGTGTCGGGCCCTGGGGAGCAGGAAGGCATCAGGGGGTGTTTTCCCCTCCCCTCTGTGGAGCACAGTGCTGCCTCAGCTCACCTGCAAAGATGACGAGGCCAAAGCACCACTCAGTGTTGCGCAGGACGCAGCCCCGCAGCAGCATGTTCTGGTTGCTCAGGGGGTACTTGTTCTCCTTCCAGTACAGAGTTCCACCAAACTTGTCCAGCTTGTTGTTGGGGGGTTCACAGATCACCTCACCTGAGTGCACAGTATGGTTCAGCTGGGACTTGCCTTTTCTAGTGCTCCCAGCAGCACTCCTGGCTCCCCAGAGATCAGCTTTGAGCCGCAGGATGACAATGCCACGTGGCTGGTCTTGGTCTGTCCAGGGTGATGGAGGAAGGAGTGTAGGACTGGACAGTGGTAAAGGGCTGGTCACGGGTACTCACCATCAAAGTGAGCCAGCTTGCTGGTGTCCCCCAGCTCTGCGGTGACAGGGATGGCCTGACGTACCTTCATGTTGGTCTCTCTGCAGGCAAGAAGGCACCACATGTGGGTAAGGGACAGGCTGGCAGGGAGGGAGGGCCTTTGCTGGTGCTGCCCAGCAGTCCTCACCCTGCCCACAGCCCACTCTTGCCTCCCCCAGCCCCACAAGGTGAGCGAGGACACCTACCCATCCAGCTCTGCGGTCTCTATGTAACACAACCCATGGGGCTCGCTGCTGGACAGGAGGAGGAGGTCGGCCTGCTCGGAGAGACATGTGAAGGGTTGTGCCAACACTGGGGCTCCCCAGTGCCTTCCCCAGRGAAGCTCCCGGCCCTTGGATGTCCTTGGAACTCCCTGGAGCATTTGCAAAGGCTGTCCCTAACCCCCTTGGCACCCAAGCCTAGCCACCATCGCTCCAAGTGCCCAGACCCTCAGAGTTCAAACATGCCTCCAACATGGCTCCAACTCTCCAACCTAAATGCAACTTCCAGGCTGGGAAGTCCCTATTGTCCCCACCCTGTGCTCCCCACCCTGGGAGGAGCACAAAAGCAAAATGGGAGCAGTACCCCACCATTCCATGGTCCTGTATGCCACCCATCTGGGACCACACATGCCTCAGGGCTGCACTCACCGCCACAAACTGATTGTTCTCCAACTTGATGATGTCTCCGACACGGACATTCATCCACTGCTCCTGTCGAAGGCTGTGGAAGGACAGTGGACTGCAGTCAGCCAGGAGTCCTGCCCTGCCCACTGCCCTGCAGTGCCACATCCTGCAGCRTCCCTGGCCCCTTCTCCACTGCTCTGTGCCTGTGACACTCACACTCCACCGATCAGGACCTGAGACTGCCGGTTGTTCACCTGGTTGTCGCTTTTATGGCGGAACTGGTGGCAGGGGGAAGAGACAGAGGGTCAGGCTCTCAGGGATGGGGTCCCCTGCCCCCCTGCTGTCCCAAATGCCATGGCCCTGGGCACTGCACCCCTGCCCAGCACCCCAATCCCCTGCCCAGYGGGCAGAGGGGCACAGGGGGAACCACTCACATAGTCATCGGTGGCGTCTTTGACAGCTGTGATGGTTAAGACAAGAACCAAAGGCACGATGGTGGTAAACCAAGAGAGCGAAGAGATCTGAGGGATCAGCTGGGGACACGGAACAGGAATTATAGGGGAACTAGCCAGCCCCAAGCCCATGCTGCCCCTGCTTGAGGGTGCCAAACCTTCCCAATTCTGCAGGATATGAGTGCTCGGAGCCCTCCAGAATGCCCAGGCAGGGAAGGACTGCACTCACCTGCAGGATGAGGAGGAAGAGGAAATAGGTGTTGGCCACTTCCTGGAACTGCTCGAAGAGGTTGACAGGCAGGAAGGTAACAATGTTGTACTTGGAGGTCTTGATGCAGTTGCTCTGGGGATGGATGGGGCAAGGCAGAAGGGGAGTTCACAGGCTGATGAGGCCCTGTAATCCCTCAAGATCACTCTGGACTGCAGGGCTGTGGCTCCTGTGCTCTTTTGGGGGCTTTATGCTCCTGCTCCTGGGCTACCTCTGGCAGCTTCCTTGGGAACCTGATTTCTCATCTCAGTCACCAGCCAATACCCTGGGACCAGCCTCCTACAGCAGCAGCACCTGGTCCCCCCAAGGGTGACCCCAACCCAGAGCCCCTGCTCCCCTCTCTGTAGCCAGTTCTGGAGCAACCAGGGGCAACCTCCAGCATGGGAGGAGGTCAAGGTGAGCACTTCCCTCCCCCAGCACCTTGAGAAGCTGACCCGTGAGCCACACACAAAATCCCACTGGGATGTGGGAACAGGCTGGGATCTGGGCAGAGTCAGAGGGTTCTGGGCATTGGCCAAGGATGGGGGGCTGAATACCCCATAAAGAGTGCACTATGTCCCCCTGTCCCCACAGCTCTATTGGTGTTAATGTCACCAACGCCATTTCCTCACACACAAACACCTCTTTGAGTTGTAATGCCCTACCCTACTGTGTGGGTGATTCAGGGCCCAGCCCCTCAAACCTGCCTGAGGACCCGTGGGAGGGGTTTCAGTCCCCCCTCACTCACTGCGTACTGGAACTTCTCGTTGTAGTCCCGCGCGTTGGCTCGCACTCGACGCTCTTCCTCTGCAACACAGTGCCTGTCATCCCCCTGCACCCCGATACCCACTGCATCTGCAGCAGGACACCCCCAAAACCCTGCATCCTGAGAGCCAAGCCAATCCCACAACCCCAGAATGCATGGAACAGGGAATGTCCCCAGCTGTCTCAAGTGGCCATGTACTCCCCCATGCACCTGTACCCCTGCACACCCAGAAACCCAGCCTTGCTTATCTGTACCTCCAGCCCCCAAATTCTGCATCTCCACACCCCCCAAGCTTGCACTGCTAGACCCCCAGCCCTGTTCACCTGCACTCCCAGAGCTCCAGATTCTGCATCCTCCATCTGGTTTATCTGCTACCTCAGCTCAGCATCCCCAAGCCACCAGACCCTTCCAGTCCTGCACCCCCAAATTTTGCATCCTCAGATCACATTTCTGCTCCCTCAGCTCAGCATCCCCAGGCCACCAGACGCTGCCAGTCCTGCACCCCCAGATTTTGCATCCTCAGATCACATTTCTGCTCCCTCAGCCCCGCTGAGCTGCACTCCTGGATCCCCAATCCTGCACCCCCAGATATTGCATCCTCAGATCACATTTCTGCTCCCTCAGCTCAGCATCCCCAGGCCACCAGACCCTTCCAGTCCTGCACCCCCAGATAGTGCATCCTCAGATCACATTTCTACTCCCTCAGCTCAGCATCCCCAGGCCATCAGACCCTTCCAGTCCTGCACCCCCAGATTTTGCATCCTCAGATCACATTTCTGCTCCCTCAGCTCAGCATCCCCAGGCCACCATACCCTTACAGTCCTGCACCCCCAGATTTTGCATCCTCAGATCACATTTCTGCTCCCTCAGCCCTGCTGAGCTGCACTCCTGGATCCCCAGTCCTGCACCCCCAGATTTTGCATCCTCAGATCACATCTCTGCTCCCCGAGCCCCACTGAGCTGCACTCCTGGATCCCCAGTTCTGCACCCCCAGATTTTGCATCCTCAGGTCACATTTCTGCTCCCTCAGCCTTGCTGAGCTGCACTTCTGGATCCCCCAATCCTGCACCCGCAGATTTTGCATCCTCAGATCACATTTCTGCTCCCTCAGCCTTGCTCAGCTGCACTCCTGGATCCCCAGTCCTGCACCCTCCACCCCCAAAATTCCGCACCCCCAGCCCCGCAGAGCTGCTCCCCCATCTCTGCACCCTCCCCGTCCCCCATTTCTGCTCTCGCCGTGCCCGCCCCGCCGGCACCCGCCGCCACTTCTCGGGCATCTCCCGGGATACGGCCCCGTCCCCGGCCCGGCCCGGGCCCTCCCGCCCCACCCCGCCGCGTTACTGAGGCAACGGCCGCACCGGGGCCCGAGCGGGGCTCAGCGGGGCCTCCCCCAGCCCCACCGCGCTGCCCCCCTTACCCGGGGCCCGGCGGGCCGCGCACCGCTCCATGTCCCGCGGCCCCACAGCCCATGGGGAGCGGGCGGGCGGCCGGGCCGGGCCGGGCCGGGGCCGCTGCCTGTGCCGCCACCTCAGCTCCCCATGGCCGCGGCGGCGCCGCTCGGCGGCGGAAGTGAGGGGGGGGCGCCGGGAAGCGCCGGTGCGCGGCCCCGGGCGGGGAGAGCCGGACTGCGGGCCCGGGGGGTGAGGCAGCCCCAGGAGTTGTCCCGCGTGTCCCCAGAACAGATCCCCCACACAAACAGCACTTGTCTCCCCCAGGCTGGGGTCCCCATGCAGCCAAGCCTGGTTCGCCTTCCTCACTGCTTCCACCATATCCCCGCACCTCCATGCCCACAGACAAGACACCCCGTGCCCTCAGGACGTTTTTAATGGTGTGRCAGGGACCGTGGGGGAACCCGTGCTGCTGGCGCACGGTGATGGGGGAGACTCGGCAGCCGCTGTCCCCCCAGTGTCCTTCTGCGTRGGTGACATCGCAATGTCTTGGTCGATGGCGGTGTTGACTAGAACGATGGAGCCCTGCTCTGCCAGGACGTCGCTGTCCTCCTCCGGGTGGTGGAAAGCCACAAAGAGCTGGTACAGGTATGTGCCCACGGCGGCTCCAAGCATTGGTGCTATCAGTGGCACCCACCACCACCCATTGCCCCTGCTGGAGACGGGACAGGGTGGGCTGGGGATCATTCCTGCCATCCCCACCTTGCCCCCTTCCCTCCACTCACCTGAAAACCTCTGGGCCCCAGCCTGCCACATAGGTGAAGAGCCGGGGCCCCATGTCACGTGCAGGGTTCAGGGGACAGCCGCAGTTGGCTGTCATGGAGCAGCCAACAGAGAGGATCACCAGAGCCACRATTGGTGGTTCCATGCCCTTGGGGACACCCTTGTTGCGGGTGTCCATGATGCCCATGACGCCCAGGATCACCACTCCTGTGCCGATCACCTGCAGGGACAATGCAGCAGCTCAGCACCATGGGGACTGGCACCATTGGACAGGGCTGGGGGAGCTGACAGTGGCACCCACTTGGTCCAAGAAGCCGTTGGCGATGGAGACGTAGTCAGCTGGGTAGGTGGCRAAGATGGAGGCAGTTTCCCGGGGGCCAGAGACAGTAAGGGTCCCGTTGCTGTAGTGCCAGATGGCATCTGGGGGGGCAGAGGCAGAGCATGTCCGTAAGCCTGGCCACCCCAGCATCACCCTCGCCCAATGTTGCTCCCCCGTACCATAGTAGAGCATGTAAACAGCTCCAGCAGATATGAAAGATCCTAAGGTCTGCACAACCGCAAAGATGGGAAGCTTCCACCAGGGAAACTGCCCCATCAGGCACATAGCAAAGGAGAACGCCGGGTTCATGTGGGCCCCTGCAACGGAGTGAGGAGAAGGGCTGGGAATGGAGGGCCCTGTGGCAACCAGAGCCGGGGGATGGCAAGAGCTGGGACGCCTTCCTCTGTCTCACCAGAGATTCCCCCCGCTATGTAGATGCCCACCATGACAGCCAGGGCGCCTGCGAGGTAGGTGGTGAACAGGTCCCCCTTGGTCTCGAAGCTGGTGATCTTCTGTGCAGAGCTGCTCAGGGTGATTATCTGGAGAAGAGGGATGTAGCCCTACCTCAGCACCAGTGGGTCTGTGCTGACACCCTCCCACTGCTCACACTGCAGGCAGCAAGGCAAGAGCTACACCAGTGCTGCCACCATGGTTTTGTTCCCCAATACCAGACAGGCAAGCATACCAGMAGGAATATACCAGAATATATTGACACCAGACAGGGACTGCTGGAGGTGGTTACTGCTCTTACTTGWGGTTTTGATGGCAGATTATAAGCAATTAAGCAAACTGATTCAGTGRAGAAGTGGTGGGGAAGAGGTGCCACGGCACCCAGGGACACCATTTGCCATCATGGGATGCACTCCACACACTAAGAACAGCACCAGAGCCCCAGCCTTTGCCTGCTCTGAGGCAGGAGGGATCGAGGCACACACTGCCCAGCACCACACCCTGATTGTACCAGAGCCATGGCACAGGGCGGACCATGCTGTGGGAACAGGGTCCAAGGGAGGACAKGCAGTGCTGAGTTGCACATTTTAGCGTGGTGCAGCCCCAAACTCCTCCAACCCCCAGGGAAAAGCAGCAGAACCCCGGGACCCCTGTCACCTGCCCCCACCCCCCATTAGCCCCATCCCACCTACACGACCCCCCCATCAGCCCCAGCCCACCCCCAAGCCCTTCTTACAATGAGCACGAAAGTGGAGAGCAGTTCAGCCAGGCATTCCCGCACCAGGCGATTCCGGATGCGGAGCAGACGCCGAGCCCTTGCCAAGCAAGCAATGGTGCCCTTAGTGCCSAGCATAGCGACGGCGCCGCGCTGACAGCAGTGGCAGCAGCCAGGGTGGTGGAGGTGTCTCAGTCGCTGCAGGTTTTATGAGCCCCAGAGCCAGGTGGGTGATAATGTGCAGACTTTAAACCAATCAGGGCTGCACCAAGGGAGACGCCTGGCAGGGACCAGAGTCCTGTGTGGGGCCAGGGCCACCTTGTGATGATGCTGCACTCCAGCAGGGCCAGAGCTGGTGGGAGTGCCCTCATCCCCAAGTGGTCATGGGGAGCCAAGACCTCACTCGGGTAAGCAGGCTGCCAGAGCCTGCTGTGTTCCTGGCCAGGAATGCCCCCTTTATTCCTGCCACATTCCTGCTCAAGCCACAGCTACAAGTCGACACTAATAAAGAGGCCCTGGAAAGGCCTTTGGGCTGGGCCAGGCCCTCAAGAGTGGCACGAGGGAGGCACGAGCACAGCATCTGGCAGGAAAAGGGAGGTAAGCAGGGAGCAGTGCAGGCACAGGAGCCCAGCACCCACCTGCACCCCTGAGGCAGCCCCAAAGAGCCATCSTGGTGGCCAGGGGGAATCAGCCTTCAAACCCATGAGATTCCAGTCTGAAGGAGCGTGGCAGATCACTGTTTAGCATAAATAGAGTTTATTGCTTTGTACACACATACACTTGGCCCCCAGAGGGGTCTCTGCAGCACTGCAGAAAGTAGGCAGCCTCCAGCCCAGGCACCACTTCCCAGCAGGATCTGACCCATCTACAACAAAACCAGGTGGTGAGAAGAGACTGCTGCCCACTGCCTGCTCCTACAGCCCAGGCAAGCCCARGACCCCAGAGCCTGCACCTGTCACACATATGGGCTGCTCTGTCAGGACTGGGCACAGCTACCAGCTGGAGAACCAGTGGCGGATGAAGTTGCTCAGCGTAGATGAGGGGTCACTCAGGTTGGGAACACGAAGCTTGTCTTGCTGCGGCCATGTACCAGCAAACTGTGCCAACTCCCCTGGGAAGGCAGGGAGAACTCCCTCAGTGGGGGCCCTGTCTGCCCCCTCAGTCCTCCCCAGGGCTCCACTCACGGTCATCCATGTTGACCACCTCCTCCCGATAGTCCTTGTTCTCTCCATCCTCCTTGGTGGTGGTGATGAAGGCCTGGTCTCCCCTGCGGCGYGTCACCGTGGTCTCCCGGTGGCCCTGGCTGTCCTGCACGGTGCGGCGCTCCTCCACCGCCTGTGCAGAGTGCCCAGCCCTCAGAAACTCCCCAGCCACAGGGASCGTGCCTCCCACAGCCCTGCTGGAGCTGCAGGACACTCACCCCATCCGGGAGCGTCACTTTGGTGACAGAGATGCTCTTGAAGTAAGAGTGGGACTTGGGCTCATCAGGTCTCAGGATGGTCCCCAGCCCCACGGAGGAGACCTGCGAGTCCAGGTCTGGTGGAAGATGGGAGATGGTGGCCACAGCCCAGAGGAGCAGGGAGGGCAGAGATGCCCCAGCCCCCACTCCCAGCACCCACCTTGGTCTTCCTTGAGGCCAGGAGCCGGGGGAGCATCTTCCAGCTGCAAGACAAAGCCAATGCCACTGACACCAGGGGACACAGCGTGACACTGGGGCAACACTGCAACAGCACAGAGCTGGCAGACCCCAGACCCCTCACCCACCGCCAGGAAGGGTCTCCAGGGCTGGGTCGAGTCGCTGGAGACTCCAGGGCTCSCCGGGGCCGCGCTGGCAGGGGGGCTCTCCGGGTGCTTCAGCATGGAGTCCCGCAACGGGCGCCCTGCGCTGCCTTCACCGGGGCCGGGCAGGGCGGGCTCTGGGCAGCAGAACGGCGTCGGTCAGGCCGAGGGGCTCCTCCGAGGGGCCCAACAGCCTCGCTCAGCTCCTCCCGTACCCACCAAAAGGYTGTTGGAGCTCGGCCCAGGACCCCCCGAGGACGCCCAGGAGCTCGCCCATGTCTCGGAACAGCTCCTCGAAGGCGCCGCGGGACGAGCCAGGGCGGAATCCGAAGCCGAAATACTCGGGGGGCTGCGCCATGGACGGGCCGCCATCCTCCTCCTCCTCSTCGTCGTCCCACGCCGCGCCGCCGAACAGCGGGTCCCGGGGCCTGCGGGACCGCGGCACTGAGACACCCGCACAGCCCGGAGCAACCGGGGGCAGGCCGGGGCCGGTGGGCAACAGGGGCCGGAAGGTTAAAAGAGGGACTGGCTCTGTCTAGGCGGGGCAGGGTGGGGTCCCGGTACCTGCCACGCCCCGGGAACCCGAAGAAGCCACGGAACATGTCGTAGAAGCTCATCCCGCTCCGCGTCTCTCGGGCTCCCGTTCTCCCGTTTCGCCGCCGCCGCCGCCGCCGCGCCCGGGTCGCGCTGCCGCAAAGCGCCGCGGCCGCAAAGCGCCGCCGGGTGTCGCGAGGTGCCGCGGCTGTGGAGCCCGGGCCGTACCGTGCCCGGTGTCCCCCCGGTGCCCCCGAGAGCCGCGGGGGCCGGAGCCCGCCCCGTCTGGGCCCTCCCGGCAGCGGGGGCTCCCCTGGGCTCCGCTCGGGACAGAGCCGTGTCCCGGCAACCCCGCAGTGGCGGCGGGTGCTGCCGGAGGGCGGGCGGTGTAACGGCCTCCTCGCAGCCGAGCTCCGTGAGGCAGCGCTGCCCTCCCGCTCCCCTCACCGGGCCCACAGAGCACAGGAGAGCTCCGAATTTGCTCCCCACGCGGCAGGGACCCTTACCTGGCAGCTGGTGTGGAGCACTCGGCCACGGACAGCTCAGCAGGCACAGCTTTCTGCCGTACCGGGAGTCCCACTGTCCCCCTGTACCTGTCACCACCCTCCCCTGAGTGTCCCCATGTTCTCGTGGGGAGGAGGCGGCTGGGGAGCACCCCAAAACCTCCAAAAGGACAACCAGCGGTACCGGAGCAGTGGGGACAGAAGGTAGAGCACAGTAGGAGGTGGAAATGAAGGGTGGGGGTCTCACAGAAGGTGGGGAGGGGGAGGATGGTGGCATTAGCCCTGTGCTGGCATGCAGCTGCCCAGTACTGCAGCTGGGAAAAGGAAAAATCCACAAAAGGAGGGGACAAAAACACCAGCAAGAAGCTGGGGAGRGGTGGGGAAAGGCTGTCCCCACTGCCCGGGGCCTCCCACCCCCAGCACCAAAAATAGGGAACCAGGCTGAGAAGGTGGAAAAAATACACACATCACTTTGTGATCTTTATTCTCTTCAGTAAATCCCCGCTTGGGGCTGCAGCTGAAGGGATCAGGTGGAACTGAAAAAATACAAGATCTGGACTGCACA